CACCACTTCTAACACTATGAGTGGATTGCATTAAATCTGCAATGCAGAAAAGTGACTGTAGCTCATTCAGATATAAAGTTAATACCAATTACTGTTTAAGCATAATTAAATATTTACACTTCTTTCAATAAAAGTTAACAAGGGGAGGATGTGATTTTTCTGTTGTTCACGGAGGAACCAGGCAGGTAAAACCAAACCTGGTAAAATGGCTCCTGCTTTATTGGCAGGTATGCCTCAAGACTTACGCATAAGCAACATGATGAGTCTGTGTTTAGTATGCCAGAACTTAAGATCATGACATACCACAGAATGTCTGTCAATGCTGGAAAGAATTCTGATATGGTAAATGTACCTTGACCACAGTGATGCTTCCTTAAGTACCAAGTACAACTTGGCTAAAGCTTCTGTGTGAAACTCTGGCCTCTCTGAAACAAAGATCTCTTGATGCTGCCAGGGTGGGAACTCTTTCTCAGTCAGACTAACTGGCAGTGTGGACAACTCTTCCCTGTGAAGTGCTGTAAAGTTTATACGCAGGAAAGTGGTAATGAAAATTCAAGAACAGACGACCAATTCTTCAGATCATGTAAACTATGACCTCTATGCATTAGATGGAACATTCTAGTTTTTAGAAACCAGAAATGTGAAGGGGGGAATACACACACTCAATTTTCTAGAATGTTTTAAAACTGCATTGGCATGAGCTATATGCAAGTTCTGCTTTGGCTCTCTACAGATTGTGTTTCCCAGCTTCTGGGCAGCCCTGTTCCCTCTTTTAGCTGCCCAGTGTCTCCTTTTAACCCATAGATTTGGTGATTCATCTTCCTATTCAATTGCAAGAAGTCTAAACAAACTGAGATATGAGGAAGCACAGAGGATGCCTCAAAGTAAAGAGGAATTCTTAAGCCAATTAAAGCTGCTACCTTGTTAATTTTGTAAACACTGTAACACATAAGCGTTTTGAGTGAATAAGCAGCTAAAGATCTACTGGCCTAGCAAATAAATTGGAAACTCGATTTGATGGAGCTTCCATTTGGATTTTTCAACTTCTGAATGCTGCAACAAACTACTTCAAAACTTCAGTGCCTATTCTAGGAATCAATAGGTAAGATTATCATTGACTATGGTTTCTGTGTGTGCAGCAGAAACAACACAGAAGTTGGAAATAGAAGCGTCTCTGTTTGCAGAGTAATGTAAAGTTCATAGAAGTTCTTAATGGTTTCTGGTATAACTATATTCTCATTACAGGTCTAACCATCTTCCTAAGATGTTAATGCCCTGCTAGAATGATCTCCTAGACAGAAAAACAATGGTGAGAGGAGGATTGGAAGAAGCTCTGAGAGCTACGAGGATGCTGCACAGGGAATTTTAAGGATTCCAGAAAGTAGGACAGCCTTTGACATATAAAGTTTTGCCCACAAATGTTCAAGCGCCTGAGCTACAGGTATATGTTTATAGCGACCATAAATACTACTTTCATAACTCCATAATTATGTTCTGACCTACAGTTAATATTGTCTCTTCATGCTTATGTTCACCATATTCATTTGTTTCAGAAGACTTCTGAAGTACAGTAAGATATCCTGCATAGCCTTAAATGGGAGTTCATGGGAAAACTTGTCCTAAACTGATAAATATCTATATGGCAATTAACACTACGGAGATCCAATTCTGATGAGACTCTGTGCTCCGTACAGAAGCAAATAAAATAGGTGATATCTTGTTTGACTTCTAAGACTTAAAATAGAAAACGGATGTGCTTACTCATATGTTGAGAAGCTAGACTTAGCACCGTAGCTATACTATGAGACCCAACTGACTTGTTTAGGTTTTCTCTTCCTTGCTGTTCTAGCTGAAACTACAGGAGGAAGTGCATAGAGAAGCTGAACTGTGGTCCCTCAAGAGCTGGCATGTGAACCTGTTGATGTAAACCATGACTGCATATTTCTAATTTACAGCATGGATGCTATGTAAGAAAGCAAAGCCCATATGCTTGCAAAATGTGGGCAAACCAAATTAAATAGGATAACTGTCTACAGTGTCCTAGTGAACATAGTACATTAAAAAAAACATAATTCCATGCTAGTTTGTATCAGAACCAAGATAAACAGGCAACTTGCAAATTATTCAGGGGGTTAGCGGCGGGGTGGGGGGTGGCGGGGAGGGAAGCCATCAAAAGAAGTTTTGACTGTTAGGGAAATGTGTTATTGGTGTTACTTTTCTATGAAAAAGGATGCTAAATACATAGATTTAATAGTACACACTAATGATAAAATGACAGAATGAAACCTGAAGAATGTTGTAAGGGTGAAGGCCAAGTAAAAAGCTATTCTGTAGCTTGACAGAGTAACTGTCCCATCTTCTGGAGAAAAAAGGCATAATCAAATTTCATGCCTTTGAGATTATAGGACCAGCTGTGCTTAAATACTTGCAGAAATGTGACTTGGCTAATATTCCAGCGGAATGAATCTTCAGTTACCAACTGAACTGATATTGCTTATAGTCAAACAAGTCTGCATTTTCATAGTACTAGACTACCTGTAGACATTACTATGTTAAGTGTAACAACTCCTGTTCAGGTGAGTGCCTTCAAAACAGGGAGCTGATGAACATACATATAAGCTCTATTAACAAATATTGTCTCTAAAGAAGTGAAAAGCTATAAAAGTTTTTGCTGGCTGCCTTACTGTAATGTGCTTACTCTGTCAGTGTTCAATTTTTAACCAGGGCCATAAAAATTCTTAGGACTGGTGTAATAAAGTATAATGAATATCCTCATTTGCCTGCAAGCATCAAATATTTCTCCTTTGGTTTTAATCTCTTTAAAATAGCAAAATTCATGAGAAGAGGGAGTAAACGTTTCTGGCTTGAATTTCAGGACGCTAGCCACAACATGTTTTTGCACTAGTGTCATAGAAGAAGGAAAGCATATCTGCATTAAAGTTAGAGGGTGGATTTGGGCTATAATTTAATTTCCACAGCAGCATGTCCCAATCAGTTGGAAAGCTTGTAATTAACCTCTTCTTGGGAACCACAAATAAACAGAAATTGTTTGAGGAAACTTTGATTACTCAATGTGAACTGGATTTCCAGCTGGAGTGCCTGTTCCTCTGTTAAAGCAAGCAAGTATTTTTGGAAGTCTGCTCCCTCAATGATGCTTTCTACTCTATCAACCAATCTTACCACTCAAGGAATCTAATACAGCTGTGCCCTAGGTGTAATACTGTGCTAGTTTCTTGCGCTAAAAGCAAGTCCAGTTTGAAGTGCCAAGTTTGCAGGGTGTGCTTAAGTTGGTGGGGTTGAACTCCTCCCTCCTGGGAGCAGAGGAAAAAGTTTGCAAGTACTCAAAGGATAAACTTAACAGCTTTTCAGAATATGTTTCCCTCTTCCTTTCTATTAAGCAAACTAAATTAGCACACACAGCAGTAGAGTGGGGAGAAGATAAAGCATCTCTTTCAAATGTAATGTTTTCTCAAATACATGCTTGCTCTTTGAAAAGGAAGTAGAAGCCTGAGCTGATGGCTGCCTTAGAGCATGGTCATACCTGGGTATGAGTAGTTTCCTGTGTGGATGGTGCAGTGTCTCAAGGCTTCCTCTCATAAATGAGGAAAGTGTCTGTTCAGCCACTCTTCTTGTTTACTAAAAGCATATATAGCTGGTTTTTCAACTATTTTAACTTGCTAAAAGTTCCAGTTACGAGATGTTTGGAGAAACTTTCCTGTTTCTCATACTTTATACTACCTGGCCCCTATGGCAACTATAGAAGTACTCTAGCATGTTTTTGGAGAAGCACAGTCAAGGTTTTGCCTAAAACTGTCCTGTCAGAAGTAAAACTAATATCAGGTTTTTTGCAAGGACAAGCAAAGGAAGACTAATCTTGAGGTACTTCAATATGGAACTGCACAGTATTTCTACTAAAGCTTCTTGTCCATGCTATGGCTGCTTGAGATAATATAAGTTTACCTTAAGTTTGTCTAACATCCTTCCTCTCAAAGGGCAAAAAGCATTTTCTACTCAAGCCAACAAACAACAAAATAGGTTATTTCATCCAAAGCTGGACAAAGGCCTTCGTGTAAAGTCTGCTATACAGGAAAGACGATACACAAATACATGCAAAAAGCACTTAGAAGTTTGTTCCCTAGGCTTAACTTTCCAAGCACTCCTCACTTCTACCAACAGCTTAGTCTGGTCTTGTCAGAAGCTTATTCTTTTTCTAATTGCTGGCACAAAAGGCTCTTAAATCATGTTTTGACAGTTGAAACACTACATCTTCATAAATAAAAAGAACTGTCAATAGTGCTAGTGCAGAAGCAAAGGAACCAGATGCAGTACTAAAAGCTAGGGGAGGGGACAATGATACAAAAGTTAAGACAAGCATCTGCTTACAGTTTGATAGCAGCAATCTGTCTAAATCCAACCTAGAAAATCAGATCCTACTACAGCTGGCATAGAGATTATGAACATCTCTGGACAAAAAAAACTGTTTAGAAATAACAGTATTAGATCAAGAGGGTATTCTGTTCACTTCTGTCCTTTTCACTGTAAAAAAGAAAAAAACCAAACCAACCCACAACAATTTTCTGGTGTCTAAAGACTGAGCTAGCAAGCTTGCATTGTCTTCCAAGCTTGGAAGAACCTACTATAGTAAAATATAGTAGCTTTATTTTATATGTGGCATATTTCTCCCACCCTTACTTTGCACGTGGGCCTTTAGGTTGAGCCTTCCTCTACTTCACTGAAATCCTGTGTTGGAAGGGTGCATGCAGGATCTCACTTCTCTTCCAAGCTCAGATCTACCTCATTTCATCAGCACTAAATTAATATTTGGATAACACAGTCACAAAATGAGAATGCTTTTTGAAAGCTGCAACATGAAAAGTTTTAAAATGAACTGCACAGAAAGGCATGAACACCTAGAGTATGTCAGCATTAGCAATAAAAGACATTGTACAACCAACCATGACCCAACGCGTGTGTCAATACCTCACGGTATGAAAAGGAACGAGATATTGAGTTGCTTCTGGACCTGAAGACCAGCAATTTCCTTTGCAAGCAGCGGTGCCCAAGCACAGGCCGAAGGGGAAGGGATCAGATCCTACAGGGACCGAGGCCACCGGGCGCCGAGCTACTTCACCTGCCTTCTGTAAGCTGTCCTCGCTGCCG